ATTGAATGAATTATGAGAGGGCATGCCTCTTTTTATATAGTGAACCCAAGGGGTTGAAATCCTATTAGGACAAATATGATTTTTGTCTTTATCAGATTAAGTTTACTAATTTGAGTAAGATTTGAAATCTTAGTAAAAGAGGAAATAAAATGAGATTTTGATTTCCTATTTATGGACTGTAGTAGGCTAATGGGCCGTAACCCAGTTTTAGCTTAACTTGTATGATAGCCCAACTCATAGAGTGGGCAATTCACAAAGTGAATTTAAGCGTAAGCTCAATCAGAATTAGGTCAAAACCAAGGACCGTGAAAGAAATGAGAATTAAGAAAGCTGTATTTTTCTATATTGCTTTTCTTTGCCAAAAGGCTATAATATATACACATATGCAGATCAAGTCATGATCTGATAAGCAAGGAAAGAAGATAAAACTCAGCTAATTCCCTTGAAAGAAGGGATTACAAATTCCTAAATATGTGCAGTAGAGATTATCTCCAAAACTAATGTTAATTAAATCTCAACAAATCTTAACAGACCGTGACATGTTTATTTCGTTATTGAGCTTCGTCAGGCCTAAGATGATTTTTTGCCCACACACACACAAAAGTTCTGAAGTACAGAAGTTCCAGTTAAAATTTTTAATCTCCATTAATTAATATTATTAAAATAAAATGTGAATGTTCACACATAAAATATTACCATCTATATATATTATTTAGGGACAATATATAAATGGATTACATTATATCGTTACTTTTAGTTATCAAATAATCAACCAAAACTCAAAATTTCATGAACCAAACGAAAACCACTATTAACAGTCGGGCGTTAGTTAATTGTGAATGTTAAAATATAAATCACCATGAGCTGTTTCCATAATTTATGTTTGCCTTAAGGATTCAAGCAAACAAAGGGGGCATGGCAGAATTAAGTAGTAATTATTTTGTTTAAAATTACTCATTCTAATTATCAATTGTTTTATTAAAGATTGTGCACAGAACAGTTCATAAAAATTAGAGATAGGCAAGGACTTAACCTAAATATTATAATTTGGGTTTGTGAACGTCGACATATTAAGGTTATGTTAATGGTTGGAGATAGGACGGGGCTGTCAAGTGAGAAGACCAAATTCTTTGCTCTTGTTGTCAAGGCTTGTCTCCAATGTTTTTAAACCCGACCCGGGCTTTGACCTAGTCAAGGAGTCGGTTTCTAGGTTGGGCAGTCCGACCGGCTGGTTAGATTGGTGACGTCAACATAAAACAGATCTACGATCGATCAATTAGCCAATCAATCCAAAACACAACCAAACACAATCAACATCAACTTGGGAACAGTAGTGCGGCGAGATGGTGGCTCGAGGAAGGTGAGAATGCCTGTTCACACGTAGTTGTAGTTGAGGAGGCACAAAGTGTCGCACAATCGATCGGTGCAGTAATCGACAGGCAACGATCGACAAGCAAACTCATGTTGTGATGAAGGGGGTTTTAGTGTGGGGAAGCAGGTGGTGCTGATGGTGGTGTCAGATGGAGTGATTGTTGTTGGAAGCTAAAAATCGGCCTAGAGATAGGTAGTCGTGCGAACCAGTCGGTGGACGGTGGTTGACGATCGACGGGTGCACTTGGCCTAAGATGGAAGGGGTTTTGTCGTGGAGGTGAAGGTGATGTCAATGGTGGTGTCAGGTGGGTGCAATGGCGTCGAAATCAGCGAACTGGCCAGTGGTGATGCCAAAACCATTTCAATTTTAGGAATTTCAGTAACCCAATTTAGTCACCGGGTCGGTTGAATCGATGGTTCGGAACTGTTCCATCGGTTCAACCGCAGGTCAACCTGGGCTAATGGCTGAAACTGGGTTTAGGGTGTCTTCGGACCGAAGAAGGGGCTGATCAACAGTTGAACCGACCGGTCTGATCTAGGTTTCAAATCATTGGTTGTCTCATTCGAAATATTGATTTTTAAGTTACAAAACCTTATATGTTGGATAATTAAAGAAATATGCAAAATAGATTAATTTTTTGGGGGATATCTTAAAATATATCAATATATTTTAGAGTTAGGTTATTGTACCACAAATTTTGACATAATATTTATTTATATAATTCAGTGGATTTAAAAGAAAAGTTAGAATTAGTTATTTTTAATGACAAATTAAGCAAATTTTAAGCCATTGATTACCATAAACCAATGGTCAAGAATCTTGATCACAAATCGTATAAAAATGTGTGCTATAATACCTTATATATCTTTATATTTGCCATGTCTTTATATATATAAAGATTTGTCTTTACCAATGCCATCACTGGTGGTAATGTAGGAGCATATCACCTGTTTGACTATTGTTTCTTTGTCCATAATTGGAGGACACTATTATGATAAAGTAAAGTAAAGTTAAATTAGATTAGGAGAGTAATTAGCTAGGCTTTTGAATCAATTGGACCACTGACTTAGTCAACAATTGCGATTAAAAGCTGATGACAATAATTGAATTAGTGTTAGCATTCTAGGTCACAAATCTATTAATCTCTCCTGGCATTAATTTATTATACAAATCAAGCCAAACCCAATATTAAAAACTCCCTAACTACCAAAATATTTATTTATTTTTGCTCAAGTTCTTTCTTTTCAAAGACTTTCCGAACTAACTGAAAACAACATTAATTTTCACCTACTGAATTCTGGTGATTTATTTTTGAGAAAACGACTTTTTCCTACCCAAGGTTTGCCTTAATGATACTTTCCCACCTAAAAAGTTTCAAAATACCACTTTCTCACCTAAAGTTAATATTTCGTTACTACCCAATGTTGATTCCGACTAATTTTGGTGACGAAAATTCTCTCCATCATCACCATTTGAATCTCTGATCTTCTCTCTACAAAATTCCTTTGACTCTGACACCTGATTTCTAACTGATTGTTGGCCATCACAAAGCTAAGGTTTTCAATTCTTAGCTGATTCCGGTAGTAAATATTCAATTGGTCACCACTATTCAATCCACTGACCAATCTATAAAAACCCTTTTACTGTGGCTCTTAGTAACTCGTCGAACGCCAATTAAGAAAATAAAGTGTATTATGGGTATTGATGAAATATAAACGTTAGGTGGGAAAGTGATATTTTAAAACTTTTTAGATGGAAAAGTGTCATTAAGGCAAATCTTGGGTGAGAAAAAGTGTTTACTCATTTTTTTATATAGAGGAAAAAAAAAAAAAAAATTCAATAAAGATGCGATATTTGATACATTTTTAACATGTGAGAGGTTGCAAATTCAACACATTTGCTTTACAAATTTGGATATGGCGTTAAGAAATTTCCACTACTTTTGGCTAACAGTAGAAGCGTTCTTTCGAAGATAAAACTATGTCTACCACCTTCAGGAATTTAACATTCACTGCAAAATTAAACCTTCTTGTAGGTTAGCAATTTATGATGGACACATGCAGCTTGACTTCTTGTACACAGTACTTAACTTAATTTCTATCAACTGTTTTTTGTGATTGGTGAATGGTTTGATGCATTGATATGATCACTTAATTTCCAGGGTAGCTCAAGTACTGTATAATTGGGGGGTCCATTGAAAAGATAGTCTGATTATTTTCTACAGAAACTAGTTGCTTGAATTCAATTACCATCTAAAGAAAAATGAATCATGTCTTTCCTGATTCTCAACAAGTACATACGCCACAGGGAAATCTGTCTATACCTATAAAGTGAAACAATGTAGAGTAATATAAAATGAAGACAAAAAACACACATAAATATCGATAGAGTAAAGAGTAAGAAACATAAGCCGATTTACTCTGGCTCACCCAATTAACATATTACGTCCCAATTAACAAATTATGTTCAATATGGTCAATATTATTGAAATGTTGTCTCACTATTCTTGTTACAATGTAAGTATTTGTCTTATGATTTGCTATCATTTACGTACAAGAGAAAAAAAAGTTTATATACTAGGTTTAAAGAGTAAAACATAATATTATAAAGATATTTTTTTTTTTTTTTTACTAAGACCAAATCCAATTAGGAATTAAATAAATAGAGAAATCCTTCAACGGCACTTTATGGAATAGGCCTAAACAGCCTACTTAGAGAAATCTTTCAACGGGACCCTGAATGCATCTACGTGATCCATTATTGTTGAAGTGGTCGACAACTACAACATAGAGAATTCTTCTATGAAACTAAATATTGTTGAAATATTCAACACATACAAACAATTTGAATTGTCTCGCACTTTGTAGAATCTCTGCAAAGTGCAATATGCGTGGGTGGATCCACAGGTTACGATGCAAGAATGCTCATAATCAAAGCTTTAGGCGCCATTCACAGCAACGCGACCATGGCATCCGGGATAAAAAAATGGCTTGATACAACACATTTTTTTTTGCGTTGGAAGAGTTCATTTTTCATATAAATATCCATCTTACTGGCTTCAATAAACATCTTCGTCTTTATTAACCATGTCGTGAAAAGTGACAGGTCATTTAGGGTTTAATTATTATTTATACAGATCATATTATCCATTTCCATCTTCTGAAACACATCGAGGCTTAAAAGGTTAAAAAGAAACTAGATGAATAGGTGATCTTTTAATTAATAGCGATATAAATGTGACATTAAGTGCCAGAATTGAAGGTAAACAAGCGTAGCTACAATAGACAGTAGTGTAAATGATGATATAACAAATGCAGTAAAATGAAAAAAAAAAAAAAAATGGTCGACCCCATAAGCCACACAGGAGGACCATACAAAAACAATTCGTTCTTGACTAAACACAAACTGTAAATGTGAAGTGCAATAAAGGGTTTCATCATCCAAAAGTAAAATTAAATTTTATGTTACAATTTTGACTGTACCATGATCGATCGATCTACCAACCAACCCCTGCAGGCCTCTCTCTTTATATTTTGTCCCACAAAGCTTCCACATTTGAACCACAATTTCCCTCTTTTGTTTCTTTCATTCATTTCTCTCTCATGCAATTTAGTTCTTGACAAAAAATATGGTACAATCAAAGAAGTTCAGAGGTGTCAGGCAGCGCCATTGGGGCTCTTGGGTCTCCGAGATTCGCCATCCTTTACTGTACTACTCTCCACAGAAACTACTATAACTATACACTTCTCACAATTACAACTCTTTGATTCTTTGTTTTCTTTGTATTTATATGTATATATAATTTGTTAGCTTGTTTCTTTTAGCTTCATCATTCTGATTCTGATTATCTCTTCCGTTAAGTCTCTATATACAAGTTTTGACATTGTTTTCTTGGCGAATTTTGCAGGAAAAGAAGGGTGTGGCTGGGAACATTTAGGACGGCCGAAGAGGCAGCAAGAGCCTATGATGAAGCAGCCATTCTGATGAGTGGACGTAATGCGAAAACAAATTTTCCAGTCGTCACTGACCAAGCAAGCAATGAGAAATCGTCTTCTTCGTTGTTGTCATCGTCATCGTCCTCGTCATTATCGTTGTCATCATCTACGTCGCTTTCTTCTACACTCAGTGCAAAACTTCGCAAAAGTTGCAAATCTCCATATCCTTCTGTCACTTGTCTGAGGCTTGACACGGAGAACTCTCACATTGGAGTGTGGCAAAAGAAAGCCGGGGCTCGTTCGGACTCGAACTGGGTTATGACAGTTGAACTGGGGATAAAGAACAACAACAACAGTGGAGAAGAAAATCAATCTTCATCGGAGCCGAAACAGGCTGATGATGATCAGCCTAATATTGATCAAAATCATCATCAGGCACAAGAAATAAAAGGAAAGGAAGTCGGTGGTGGACTAGATGAAGAAGAGAGAATCGCATTGCAGATGATAGAGGAATTCTTAAACAGAAATTAAATTATCCCATCGCGGTGAACAATCAACTTCAACTATAAAGGAACTTTCACATGGAGTTCTAGTAATTAGGTTTGTGTTTGTTTGCTCAATGCAGGAGTTTGTTGCTATATGTATTAATAAGGAAATCTACCTAGTATAGTACTCGTATTCAATTCAGGATCTGTTGGAGAAGATATGAAATTTATATATAAGGAATTGGTTTAATTATTCTCTCTTTCTCACGTTCTTTAATTTATTATCAGTTTTGGTCAATTTGTTACTTTGTTCTGCTGTAGTAAATTCTTGTAATAAACTACGCTTAGGTGATCGAGTGGTTCGATAGAGATTCTTGGGTATATTATTTAAGATATTTTCAGATCGAATCCTTTCTCAGTTGTTAATAGTGGTAGCATTTGTTGAGGTACGCGTAAACTAGTCTGAACACCCTCAGTCATAGAAAAAAAAAAAATCAAACAATAAAAAATTCTTTGTAATATTCAATATTTGTCATTTATGTGTGCATATCACTTCGATAAACATGAATAACCAGTATTTAAAAACAGAATTCAACAAGTTTCTGTGTATATTTTAATCAATTCTTTTAAGTTGAAATCTGGTTAAAAAAAAAAAATATATGAATGTTTACAAAATACAAAAACTATTATGATTGATATATTAGATATGGCAAATAAAGTCATTTAGCGAAACATATGTATAAATGATTGAATTAGATATAAAGCAACAACTTCGTCATAATTTTGATGAACAATCTTATTTTGCTATATTAATTTATATGAACAAGTGCATTTTTATCAAAATGCAAGTTATTTTTTTGGGAAGATATATGTAGCTAACATAGGTAATGATGCTTGCATGCTCAATTATAATATTCAATCTAAAATTTAGTAATCATGAGGTCGAAATTTATTTCATTGATACTGATTGATCTCAGTATCTAACATGCTTTTAAAATATCATAACTTATTACATTGATAAAGACGCCTTAATTTCCCATATTCAATCAAACGTGATTCAGTATATAGAAACTAATTCAAAGTGATTACAGAAATTCAACCAAAGTTAGGTTTGCTTACATGTGTTACATATAACTTAAGACTTATAGACCTCTCACGTAAAGGGTGTATAAGAATTAATCCGATTTTAGGTCTAAGATGGATACGATTTTTAAATATGTATGATTTTAATCTTGATGTCAGCAATGTTTTTATACCTGGATCAGACCTTGACCCGGTCAAGGGGCTGATCTTAGGGTCAGCCGGCTCTGACGGGTCGGATCAGTGATATCATATTGGAACGGGGCATTCTACATGGAACGGCATGCTTGGAACGGCCGTTCGTTCTCTTGGAACAGGCATTCCGCTTCCAATCTTTAAATGCTCCATTTTGGAGTCCAAACTGATAAAATCATACAAATTCCCATCACAGTCAAAACCAAACCAAACCAAACCAATGAAAGTAAAGTTTTGACTGTGAGTTGTGACATAGACTTATAGGAGAATAGGAGATTAAAGTAAAGTAAACAACTGCAAACGCTGAATAGGCGTAGGCGAACTGGTAAAGTCGCCCTGTCGTGGAGCAGTGAAGGTGACCTAAGTCAAAGTCTCAAACAATAATAATAAACAGAGTTAACAGACTACCTTAATAATAATATCGGACGGGCGGAGGTCGAGTGAAGTGTGACTGGCAGCGAACAGGCGAACGACAGAGTCATGGAGCAGAGCGGCTTGAGTAGGTTGATCAAAGGACAGAAGGAGTGAAGAATGAAGATTGAAGAATTAGAACTGGAATAAAGATTTTAGTAACCTGGTTTAGCCACAGGTTTGGTGACCCGACGGTTCAGTACTATTCCACTGGTTCAACCTAGGTCAATTTAGGCGAATGGCTGAAACTAGTTTAGAGTGCCCCTAGACTGGAGGAGAGGCCGGTTCTTGGTCGGATCAGTTGAACCGGTTTGTCTGGTCCGGGTTTTAAAACCATGGATGTCAGTGATACTAACATAAAATCTTAGTATTAATGCAATGTTAGAGTTAGTAATTTACTATATTTTTTAGGTAAGTGATTTGTTATGCCTGAAAAAGTAGGACTGACGTCGAGCCTCGTCAACATGGACGGTCAGAGTTTAGGTAGGTCCTGCAGCCATTTAGACGCAGCGACGTCACATGCTGATGTGAGCGATATGCTCTTGCCAGTGCAGTGGGTGTGCACCAGATTGGCGAAAGGCTGGAGATGTTCCACGTGTCCAATCCCTGCATAAGGCAAGGAAATCACTCGAGTAGGTGAGCAACGGGACACAAAGAAAGATTTGCACGGCAATCCGACCCATCACAAATTCAGTAATCATTACCTCAATTCATCCCACTATAAATAGAGGGCTCCTCTCCTGTTTGTGGGATTAGCTAATTTCACTTTGGAATAGCATACTCTCTCTCTCCCTCTCTTGTACTCTTAAAACTATAAATCAGCTCGCTAGACGCTACCTGATCTTACATATTAATACAATATCAATGGACGTAGGATTCGCTTGTTTAAGCATCCGAACCACTTTAAACATTGTTCTTCATCTCTTACTCAACCCAATATCCCCATAGACACGTGTGTCTTTTGAGTCAGCTCAGCATTTCCCACGTGCGATTAGTTGGTGTCAAAATCAAGCGTCAACAAGATTAAAATTATTACTTAGGATCTTAAAATATAAATGAAAGAGTCAATTGTCAACATTAACGCAGTTGCTATATTAGAAGGCACTGAAATTTATGACACCGAAAACATATGCATAATTGTAACATGAAGATGAAGAAAGGAAAAGGAATTATTGAAATACTTCAAAAGTAGCTATCGATCCATGTAATATGTATAATAAAAACTTTGGTTAAAAATATCACTGCCGTTCCTTATTTTAGCGAATAACAGGTTGAAATTCAACCATTAATTGATCTTTGCTTAGTTATTTCACAAGGGAGATCAATAATAACAATAAATCCTTTCTGGTTTGATCGTGAAAGAAACATCTTCTCTCTTTTGATGTGAACTTGATTTGCGATTTTCACTAGAAATAAGTGGTGGCATGTGATTGTAACAGGCCACCAAATCTCTTAAAGAAACAGGAGATCCATTGAATATATGCAGTTGAGATTTATTCATTAGGGTGAAGCTAGCTAAGAGTTTTTGTACATTGTATTAATTTCGAAGAACATAAACAAAAAAGTTGACTATAGAGATGAGAACGAACGAACAACCCAAGCTGTTGTTTGATCATTAATTTTTCATTTCCATTTTGTCAAAGTCTTTTTATAATTTATATATCAGATATGACATGTTATTGATCATCGATCAACACCCTGGACTCTGGAGTTTGGCATCTTTTTCTTTCGTTTTTCCTCTTTCGTGTGGGCTACTGTATTTTATGTATGCAATTCAGCAATTAATTCATTTTTATAATGTACATTCAGTGATGTATTTCCGAGAGCCAAATTAATTATTTGGGTTATCCGAAAAATTTAAGTTAACATATAATTAAGGGTGATCGAGTGGTTTGATAGAAACTCTTGGGTGTATTACTTAAGAAGTCTTGAGTTCGAGTTCCTTCTCGGTTGTTGGAGATCCCATATTGACTAGACACGCTCAAGCTAATGAGTTTGTAAGAGTGGGCAATCCTCCCACTCAATAAGACTTTTTGGGTGAGGAGTTAGGCCCAACTTCAATTAGTGGTATCAGAGCCAGCCCCATTTGAGTTGAGTGATTGACTAGCAGTGGGCTGCCACACTATCTCCATTTATAGGCAAGTGGACCATATGGGCTTGACCGTGAGAGGGAGTGTTGGAGATCTCATATCGACTAGGCACGCTCAAGCCAATGAGTTTATAAGAGTGGGCAATCCTCCCACTCAATAAGACCTTTTGGGTAAGGAGTTAGGTCCAACTCTAACATCGATTGTTAATAATGATAGCCNCCGCCTCGGATCTGGCCGGAAAAGGCCAGATCTATGTCTGGCCTTTTTCGGCCTCGACGGCCAGATCTGGCCTTTTCCGGCCAGATCATCCACGGATCTGGCCTTTTCCGGCCAGATCATCCACAGATCTGGCCGGAAAACGCCAGATCGACGTGTTACGACACAGATCCGATGAGTCTGTGTCGTAACACAATTTTTCGGCAAGTTTCCGGTCTCGACGGCCAGATCTGGCCGTAGATCTGGTCTTTTACGGCCAGATCAGCCACGGATCTTGCCGGAAAATGAAAGATCTAAGCGTTACGACACAGATCCGATGGATCTGTGTCGTAACGCAATTTTCCGGCCAGATTCTGGTGGTGGTGGCCGGAATCTGGCACTGTGAGGGTGGCGGGGGTGTTTTTGTTATTTTATAAAATTTTTATATATTGGGGTGTTTAGTCAAATTAGCAAACCTAGGGGGTTTTTTAGAAATTTTTAAATTTATAAAAAACTAAAAATTAAACTTTCAAGGGTATTTTAGTCTTTTCACTATTATCTAACCAAAATCACTAACAGAACATGACGGAAGGTATCCATTTGTCGTTTCAAAACCTTTTGGGTATCAACTTGTCATTTCAACAAACCTTGGGTATGCATAAGTAGTTCGGCCGTACAATTAATGAAGCCTCTACAATAAATTGCCTTGACACCAAAAAAAAAAAAAAAAAAAAAAAGATTTATGGGGTTTTTGTGTAAGACTTGTAGTTTTATTGTCCAAGAAGATAAGGGAGGGATTTTATAGTTGTGGGCTCCTCCTTTTACAAGAACAATAATATGTAGGCTGCAGACAGGTGTTCTCATGAATCCCATCAAAATGGACCTCCCAGGAGATGGCGAGACAACATGGTTGTCTTAACGACGATGTCTGTGAATAGTAATGAATTATCAAATCAATTTATTGAGAGAGTAAAATTATTAAAGTAATGTCCTTATTAAATTTATTTTCAAAAAGATAAAATAACACTTTTTATAATTGTTGTTGCAATATTTCGCACCAACGAAAAGTACACGAGCTTTCTTTGGGAGTTTGACCGTGAAACCGTAGGTGAAGAAAATAATATGTGATAGTAAACAAATGAATAACCGAATAGGTAAGAGAAGTTTTTAAAGTGATTCGAATGTAATATGTGATAGACAACTTGGATGATGATTTAGCCGTGAGTCTTATTGTTGAAGCAAACCATGATTTCTTACAGGGGAAACCACCTGTTCTTGATACAACATGTGGCCCAAACACTTATATGGTCACAAAACACGTGTCAAGATTTTATACCCGGTGAATTTTCCACATTACAATAATGTATTGTTATAATCAATCTTATCGTGTATATATAATTGTGACATTCTTTAATCAAATGATGCTAGAATTTTATAACCCTATTCTTATCTTATCTATCTTGTCAAACTATCTTTCTCTTTTTACTTAAACAATAATACTATATTTATAAAGAAATCTTACAAAGATTTGCATACAAAGTGAGGTGGCAAAAAATGAATAAAAGAGTGAAACAAAAAGTTAAACTTATTAAATTCACTCTTGATTTCATTTTTTACAACATCACTTTGTATGGAAATTTTTATAAAATTTCTTTGTAAGTATAGCATTACTCTTTCCCAAATTAATCTTCTCTTAACATTGTCACTCTCTCTTTCCCTTGAATCAAAAAACTGTCCCAACATTGTTTTTAATTTAGTGATTAAAATGTTGCCAAACAAATATTTAATATTATTAAAATTTAAATTGAAAAGTTTTAGGCTATAATAATAAATTATTTTAATAAAGTGTACCAAAATATTCTATCAATAAATCTTTTATTAAAAAATATATCAAACAATTATTTAGCAATTTATTCAACTCTAATATAATATTTAAAAATTTTATCAAACACATTTTCATATTCAAATCATATTCTCGTAATAAAAACTTAACTTTTTCAAAAATATTATACTACAAACGTTTTGATCTGGGCAACCCCTAACAAAATATTAGTTATAATAAATATTCACATTATTTAAAGGTTTTTTTTTTTGTTTGGTTAAGCTTCATCTTTAAATTATTGCATCTAGCCAATATAGCTTAAATGGACAAAATTACCCTTTTATGCTTTCCCAAAAGGAAGTGGAGGCCTGCAAGGGTTTCCCCGAAGTAGGATGGAAGGAAATTAGGCCTCGAATGCAATGACAAAGGGGGGATTGACTTAAAACTCATAACTCATTCAATATGCTATCAAAAGCTAATCTAGCTCTTCATTGAACATTATCTAACATGTTGTCAAACTAAAAGAGAGTTTACTGTCAAAGTAACTATACTTCAACATAGGATCTCTAAAGAACGTTATACATATTTGACCATGTAACCACCATTGTCCATGATGGTAAAAAAGCAAAGGAAATTTAATATAGTCTCTCCAAGTTTGAGTCCTCTAGGTAAAAAAACAAGAGATGATCTAACATGTCTTCTGAGTTAGAGTCCTAGGTTAAATGGAGTGAATTGAGTTTTACCGACCATGTTCAGGTGTTAGGGATAGTTGAAGTAGTGTAAGTTGGCTTAGAACACCTGCATTTAAAAAAAAACATTTGAGCATGTGTTAATAATGTTACTTAGTCTTTAAGACGTGATTGATATAACAATGACAATAAACATATTATAATAGTTAAATTAGACGTTGATTGATATAACGAATGACAACCAACACATTATAGATAGGTTAACATTAAGATCGATGATTGATATAACGAATGACAACACAACACATTATAGATAGGTTACCATTAGACCAATGATTGATATAATGAATGAAAAATAGTAGTTTCAGGGTTTAAGAGATTAGCTGGGTGTGCGTAAGTTGACTTGGACACCCCAGTCATTAAAAAAAAAAAAAAATCATATGAGCATGTGTTAAATATTGTTACGTAGGCTCGTTTGTTTCAATTTTCAGAATACTACTTTTAGTATTCCCAAAAAAGTTAAACAGTAAAATACCCAAAAACTTTGATTTTTGGGAAATACATCCCAATATTATTCAACTTTTTTTAAACCCCTTAAATTTGATAATTATAATATCCCCTAAATATTTTTAAAAATTAACAAAAACCCTAGTAATTCATATTACCAGATTCCGACCACCACAGCTGGAAAATGGCGGAATCTGTTATGATGGTGCACTATCAGCTGAATCTGGCCGGTAGTGCGTCGATCTAGCCTTTTTCGGTCAGATCCACGGTGGATCTGGCCGGAAAAGGCCAGATCTTTGGCCGTAACAGTTATAACGACGGCCAACAAACGGTCGTCGTTGACAATCAACGACAACGTTTGTTGGTCGTTGTTGACGAGAAAATACGGCCAGATCTGGCCGTAGATCTGGCCTTTGTCGGCCAGATCCACCATGGATCTGGCCGGCAAAGGCCATATCGGCGCACGACCGGCAAGATCCAGCCAGTCATGCGCCAATATGGTGAATCCGGCCACCCTCCGGCGGTGGTGGCCGGCTGTCCGTATTTGACATTGGGTTGGGGGTGTTTTTGTTAACTTTTAAGATTTTATTATAGGGGGTATTTTGTAAATAAATAAATATAGGGAGTATTTTATTAATTTATAAATCCTACATCGTAATACCCGCCCAATTCAACTTTTTTTTAACTTTTTTCAGAAAACTTTTCCCAAAAACACCCAATTGTGAACCAAACGAAGCCGTAGTGCTTTAAAACGATGATTGATATAACGAATGACAATACAACACATTATAGATAAATTAACATTTAGACGTTGATTGATATAACAAATGACAACATAACACATTATAGATAGGTTAACATTAAGACCGATGATTGATATAACGAATGACAATACACCACTATATAAATGTGAAAATAAAGAAAATATTATTACTGTTTCCGCTTAATTAAATCAGATGGTCTCCAGAATCAATTGTAGGGGTATTTTCGTCAATTTACTTAACTTGGGATATATTTACAAGAAATTTTGAAATGGCTACTATTCAAAAAAGTCAATTTAAAAAAAAAAAAAAAAAAAAGAGTTAACCGAAAGCTCCGAAACTTCTAATTAAGATCCGGTAAAACAAAGCTAAATTTCTCTCGTTAAAGTTTCTTGGGAAAGAAAAGAAAAGAAAAAATAAAAGGGAGAAGAGAAAGGAAAGGAATTGTTTTCTGAAAATGATTCTTGCGATGTTGTTCGCAAATTCTGAAGGCAACATCTTAGTTGAACGGTGAGATTAGATCTCTTCCATTCCAGTTATTTTTTATCAGATCATAAATGTTTTAAATTGTAATATTTCCGGTAGAAATTTTATTAATGAGCACCCTTTTGGGGTATTGTTGATGGGCTATTGTTTGATTGTTTTTCTTGGTTTATGCTTTCAATTGTTTATATGGGTTAGATCTCAAATGGGTTTTTGGATTTCTGTTGAATTTGAATCATTCATTATTTAATTTTGTTACAATAGGCTCAATTTGTTTTTTATTTTTATGGAATATTAATGTTTCTTTGTCTTGGCACCTTTTGAGAGTAAAATAATTAGAGTATAATACACATTTGAATGACTTCTAAAGATTACTATGGAAAGTACAGATGAATCAAAATGATTGAAATGTTGTCAACTAAGTTATGGAAAGAGGTAATCATCATCCTAAGTTTTATGACTTTTTGCCATAATTTCTTAGCATTGCAATGTTTAATTGTATTGAGAGGTTAAAGAAGCTTGAAATGGATTTTAAGGTGAGGATGTAGGCTTATAATTATGTGCGTGTGAAATAAAATTCTGGTTTAGCTACTCTAAGAATCTTTACAAGTGTGCTAGGTTCTGTCGATGAAGAGTTTTAAAAATGGTCTGGACGAGTTAATATGTGAAACTGGGCTGTGGTTTGGAGTTGACGTCAGGAAAGCTTTTATAGGTTAGGGTAGATAATTATTGACAGTTCCTGTGCAGAGTTTGATATACTCAAAGATATGTTGAGGTTCTAGGGTTGTCTGTGTTCTTTTGGGGCTTCTTTCATAAGTTTGTTCATTCGACATGTTTATGCATGTAATGCCCAAATATCTGTATTTCTGTGTATAATCATGGTATCAAATTCAACATGAAGTAGGACTAGTGTTGCAATTTTCTGAACGTACAAAGTTTAATGGAGAAAGGTCCTTCAATATGTATCATAGATTCATAGTTGATCACAGAGCCATTCTCCTATCAGATGTGTGCCCCCTCTCTTTTCATGTCAACAATCATTGGGCACAATATGATGACATGGATTGACGCTTGCCTTTTCCTTTTTGAATAAATTGGAGTAGAATTTGCTTGTCCCTCGTTTTTGGAGGCAAGATGCAGTGCCTTCCTGTGATTGGACCTTTTGATGTTGATATATTGGAACTTGGAGCTTTGTGTTTGAGAATTACATATCCATTCAAAGGAAATCAATTGTTTTTGTTGTAGTTGTTACAGCTGCTTCCTTTTTATTCAGCTGAACATGAAACACGCTTAATGAAGTTCACTGGCTTATTGTGCCACTGAGTTTGATATCTCACTGCTTGATAACTTAATAGATGCACTGATTTGATGGTTTGTTACAGGTTTAATGGAGTTCCAGCTGAGGAACGACTGCATTGGCGGTCTTTCTTAGTTAAATTGGGAGCAGATAATCTTAAAGGTGTCAAAAATGAAGAGCTCCTTGTTGCTAGCCACAAGTATGTGTACCCTTTACTTATTTAACCTGTCATTTAGACGTTATGTGTATTTTTGTTTATAGATTGCATTATTCTTTCTGGGTGGAGTTAGGTTTTACTTTGGCGAGCCAACATACTGTAAACAGTTTCAAATTAAACCAGACTGGGGGTTCATTGAGCTAGGATCCTTCTGGTCAACCAGTTTGGTTTGTGTAGTGGAACCTTTAAGGATTGGGTAAGGGAAAACCTTATCAAGTTTTACATCTATGAGAGCTGATCAGCAGGCCTTAGCTAGTCAATTCAAGTCCACTCAACCTACTAGGATAAGCATAGAATGTAACTTTGAAACCCTTGGAGATGTGATTCCAATCATCCTAAGTTCCTGACTACAAGTAGCAAAGCTATGAGCTTACTGTAATTTGTGTCTTCTGTTGTCATTAAGAATGTGCCAAATTTTGAATTTAGCTTCTCCAAAATTCCAAATGTTGTTGTCTAGTTATCTCCCTTTGCTTTCCTTCTTTGTTATAAAGCAGAACAAGTTAATCAGCTAAGTGGTTCTGTTTTTCAGTAAAGAAACCTTTAGTCCACATTTGTGCCTTTACTGGGTTCGTTGTGAATTAATGGTTGGTAACTTATTTACTGCATGGTTTTCCCTTATGCTTGAAATATTTAACATTACTGAGAAATTAATATGTTTGTTTTTAGATATAACTGAAATTGGCTTGAGTCAAATGATTTTTTTTCTTCTTATTTTCAGGTCAGTCTATATTGTTTATACAGTGCTTGGTGATGTAAGCATCTTTGTTGTGGGCAAGGACGAGTATGATGAACTTGCTTGTAAGTACATATTACTTTCTTAAGCTTGTGATGTGGTTCATTGTAAGGTTAGGAAAAAAGGCCATCAAACTTGTTGATTCCAAATGTGTAATGCATCTTCATCTTTAGTTTGGGCAGATGGACCTGCATCTTATAGGTTTCCATTAGTTTGTCTATATTGATAATTTATGGTCAAAAGAATCAAGTTCAGCATGTCTTTTACATGCTTGTTTTAGCTGGTTCAACTTTATGATTATTGTTAAGATATCTTGCGAGTTGCCTATCACGGTCTGTGATAATCTACGTATGAATGGACTGTTGATGGTAGTTCTTTACTAAGGCATAAAAATTCATCATGGTTGTCTCTTTTTCTTGAGAATAATTGTTGCATTTGTGTTGATTTTGATTGTGATATAGTACATGCTTTAATTGGCTAGAGGGTGGCAATGCAGTAACTGTATTTAGATATTCAACTTGATGATCTTTTCCCTGCTTACTTTTGTGTAGTGGCAGAAGTCATATTTTCTATAACCTCAGCTGTGAAGGATGTATGTGGAAAGATTCCAACTGAACGCCTTTTCCTGGATAAGTATGGAAAAATATGCTTGTGCTTGGATGAAATAGTTTGGAAGGTGAGTTGAGTTGAATATTCTCATATACAATAAAATTTGATGCAAACTTTCTGAAATTTTCAGAGTATTATTTTGGGGATCCATTCATCCTGTGGGTGACTGGCAACATTTAATGTACATCTGTTATCGATTTATTGTCATGCTCGTCATAGAAAATTTCTAGAGCTGTATATGTGAACAGAAGTTTGTGATTTATTTATTTATTTATTTTTTTAATCTGGCAAGACTCATGCATTTTTTTAGTTTTATTTGATAAGCTTGGTGTTCCAGGTTTATGGGGCTTAGTTTTGAAGTTCTTTTAGGTAGCACTGAATATTTAATCAGGAAACCAGAAATTCAGGAGCTTCCTTATTTATATCTCGCATTTGTGGTCATTTATATCTCGCATTTGTTGTGAACTTCAGCTACTGGGCACTGGGCAGATCCGATTTTTGCTTCCTGTTGGTTTGCATATCATGTGGAATTATTTCATATGGATTTTTTCATCATTTTATCATTTTAATTTTATAGGGACTGCTGGAGAATACTGAGAGGGACAGAATCAGGCGACTCATAAGGCTAAAACCTCCAACGGAGTTCTAAATTCAAAGCTCTATCCCATCATCAATTTATTTGAAGACAGTGACGGTATTGCTCAGTTAGCAATATTATTCTGACAGCTAGGCTTTGTAAATCTCCTGTTGTTGGGCTTTGGAGTGAGAGTTATATAATTTTTTCAAACCTCAGTTATTCGCTTATGTTGTATTTTCTGGTAGGAGGGTTTGAAATTTGTTGGATCAATATTTTCAAATTGATTGTATCTTATTAAATTTTTTAAAATACATTGCAACTCCATGGAACTTGATTTTTAGTTAGAGTTTTTCATTTCTTCCTTTCCTGGGCACGCTTAAATGCAGTATTTATATGCAGTTTGCAGGATACAGTAAAACTCTGGCAAAACCTAAATATTTTAATGGGGAATTGCATTTGTGTTTGGAAAGATTTAGAATAAAATTATTTCAGTAAGGAAAATTTCTTGATCGTGGGCCAAACTGAAGTTTTGTCATTTCCTTTAGTATTTTCTTCAATTTTAATCACAATCATGAAGCTTTGAATGGTTGTGTTTTATCTTTTTCCTATTTTTTAATTTCTGGTTGTGGTTTTTATTTGGTAACTTGTATCTTTGGAATAGGTTTTAAGAGTTCTTTACGATAGCTAATTAGACAACTTGTCATTGGTAGGACGGCTTGTTTTTGGTTTTTTGGACAGTATATCCACCTCTTTGTCATTTTGTTTTTGTTTCGGCATAGAATTTTCTTTGTTCCCTGGAAAAGAAATGGAGAGGGAGCAAAAATAAATATTGGAGTCTGATTGTAGGGTTGGTTAGGCGAAGCGCCATTCTACATAAATTGAATAATACTACGCTCATAAATCTTTTTGATCATTAACTTTTTCATACAAACATGACATGATCACTTGCAATTAATTAGTTCGTAATAAATATTGTTTGTCTAATAATAAGTCTCGACTAATTGTGAGTTGTGACGTCATATTTGTAAGAGAAAATCAATGAGAAATATTTGTTATCCATCTTTATTAATATAAATTTGATAATGGTATTTTTGAGTGTTTGATTTGACATTTTGTGTATATTCGCCACAGGATCCCACTATCATTTCCTCCGTAACTATGTACAGTCAACACATCTTATCAGATTATGCTTGTACAACTTCCAGGCTAGTGGTAAGCCAGCCTTGTTCCCATCTAAACTAGTAATAAAACAACGACAAACTGCCACAAGACTGGACTTGATTGACAAGCTTAATGAGATAAAACCTTTTTCTACAATAAGAATATCTGAAGTAACATTCCCAGAATATACTGTTATCTCCTTAGTTGTAACGCTTCTGATTACTGTTAATCTTATGAACATCCGATTTTCTCAATTAATTTAAGCGAAGATGCGTGTTGACTTACCTGTCCTCAAGTTCAGTATATACTTAGGAACCTATAGTATCTAGTTCTTGTTTAATTTACCGATTGGTTCAAGGAATAAAAGTTTGAGAAATTACTTGAACCTTCAGAATATGATATATTATTTGCAGAAGAACAATGTTTTAGTCTATAAATAGTTCTGATTTGAGAGGGTAGAGGAGCTTATACTTTGCAATGAAGTACGGGAAAAGGCTTCGAAACGAGGTAGAGAAGAGCTTCCCTGGATGGGGAGGTGATTTTATATCTTATAAGCAGTTGAAGAAGCAATTGAACCTGATTGATCCTCTGTCAAGGCCAAGGAAGAGGTCAAGAATTTCCATTGGAGATATTTTTGATGCCGGAAATGGAAGAGACGATGTGAATTCGATGAGGGTCAACGTTGGTTTCACCACATTGTTAGGTGAAGAACTGCAGAAGGTTAATACATTTTACATTGACAAGGAGGAAGATTACATCATCAGATTAAAGGTATAGTTTCCCACTTCCATTTTCTCTTTATTCATCATTACAATTGAAGGATCCATTTAGGTTCATTTTATTGCATAAGAGAATGAAAAACTGTACTAATTACTGCATCAATGTCATTAGATTGTCACACTGCTTATGTTGCTTTGTTAATCAAAAGAATCTCTGGTGGCTGAAGCCTGAAGAAGTTGGCATATTTTGGCATTGCAGGAGCTGCAGGACATGGAAGCAAACTTGTCCTGCCATAGAGAGATGCTAAATTTGCAGAAGGATATTCTGGAATTTCATGGTGAGATGGTTCAGCTTTTGCAGTACAGTGTCCTTAACTCCACAGGTACCTTCTCTATAGTTTCTGAGAATGGCTAAGAATATTAATCAGACTTCAGTTGTAGATAAAATAAATTTGCTACTCTATGCAAGGTCTCGTTTAAGGCTCAAAGGGATTTGAATGAAATTTTTGGAAACTTTAAACAGGATTTGTGAAGATAGTGAAGAAGCATAAAAAGCGATCAGGTTCTTCGATTCATGTTTCCTTCATGCCAAGAGTGCTAGAACAGCCTATCTTCTCCACTGGCTTGCTCTACAAACTCCTGAAGGAGTGTGAAGCAATGCTGTATCGCCTTTTCCTAGACGACGAACCATAAGATCACTTGAAGCTAGCAGATTTCAGTTTCAAAAAGTAGAATGTATACTGTATATCATTCACCAAAGAGAAAGTAAAAAGTTTTTCTTTGGGAATGATTTGGTGTCTTTGTTGTTGTACCTCTCATTTTGTTGTAGCAATATATTATATGGTAAAGATGAATGTTATATAAAATAATTGTTCTACTACATTACATGATCAATGAATTTATTTAGTGTTATACGTTGCTTAAATTACATGATTGATCTGTAAATTTTTCTGTTGATGAACTTTAAGATTGAACCCTAAGGGGTTAGTCAAATGGTCAAGAAGATTTATTCTCTTTATTAATTTTTTGGGTTCAAATCACTTTGAGGTCACTTATCACATTTGTGGTTTACCTCAAACATTGAGCTTGTAGGGTCTTCAATGGATCTCGGGAATTAGTTAAGGTGGATACAAACTAGTTTGAACACCTTGGTTATTAAAATTAAAAAAAAAAAAAAAATCCAACTTTGAGATTTGGGATTACAAGGGTCAAGAAAGATTGCTCATTCTAGTGAATCCATACTATATATAGAGAAAATTAAAGTATTTGAACCAACTGATAGAAAAACATATTTGAACTTGATTAAAAAGAATTATATATATAAAACATCTTATAAGAAAGTTTTAAATGAGAAATATATCATATTGCACATATGTCAGTATCTGTATCACATAAAATTGAGCAAACAACTTCCCACTCAAATAATGTCTTAATGACACTTTCCTACCTATAAACTTTTAAAATACCTTTTTACTGTCCAAATTTATATTATGTTTCTGATTCTGACATTGTTGCGACCCCACACTACCATCATTCTCTTTCCTGATTATCACTTACCAAAACCTCTCAAACCTTACTTCCACTGACGCTATCAACCGTCGGCAATCGAGGGATTAGGGTTTGTACAGCCACCCTTCCCAAATCAAATTTCGGTCAATCCTAACCGTCAAAATTCAATCTTCCACCACCAAAAGACTCATCGGTCCATCTTCTTTAAAAACTCTAATAGCCTAGACTGAATTTGCTCTTTATTCACCGTTGGAATATAAATTTAGATAATAAAGTAGTATTTCAAAAGTCTAGATATGAAAGTGTCATTAAGCCATTGTTTAGGTGGGAAAAAATCGTTAACTCTATAAAATTTAGGATACATCAAACAAATATTTCCTAATGTTTCGGAGTTCATAAAAGATCTTCCTTAAAAGTTTGTAATACGATAGATCTCATTAGAATTTGTCAAAACCCCAGTTTTAAGGATGGTTTTTGACAAATTCTAAATTATATTGAACATTGGAAAATAACTTTAGTAGTAACACCAAATGATCTTCGAATATTTGGTAATAGCACATTTATGAAGAACAGAACAAAAACAAAAAGGTGTAATAACATTGTCTAAAGTCCTTTCAGTGAAAAGACTGCTTTACCCTGTTTCACCAGAAACAGTGAGAAACCTCTTAAAACAACAATTTCTGTCTCTCAGAAATTTAGTGCCACCCAGAATCAGAACCCATCTCTCTCTCTCTCTCTCTCACATTCACTCAAGGGTTTGTGCAGAAAATGACCAAAGCGGTGGCTTTTCTGCTACTTTTGGTTTACATGTTGAGCTTATCAGAAGCCAAATCTATTGTTCGTCAGCCTCATGCTCAGAGATCCTTCAAGATCAATGCAACCCAGGTACCAATTTCTTCTCTTTTATCAAAAATATCAATTCTTTGTTGAATCTGAAAATGGGGTAAATTAAATGACCCATTTTGGTGTGATCTTTTAACAGGATGCAGGGAAATGTTCTTACTCAGTATCAATAAAAACAAGCTGTTCTTCTACCAAATATACTCGGGATCATGTCAGTCTTGCTTTTGGCGATGCTTATGGCAATCAGGTTTCCATCTAAATACTCCAAACAGAATTTTGTTTCAGTGGGGGCAAGAAAAAGATTACAATTTTAAAAAGTTCGTAGATTAAAAATACATTTGACCATATAGATTAAAAACATGATACACATATTAATACAAATATTTAAGTGGGGGCAAGATTAAAATAAAAATAGAGAAATTGATCATATAGATTAAATTATATTAGATTTTTTTGCAATTATACTCTATATTCAATAACAAGAAAACATATAGAAAGTGGTTGTGATATGCATTGAGTTGAGACTACTTTGATCAAATAAAATAAAGGGTGTTTATTGTTAAGAATACAAATAAAAGGGGATCAATAAAAATATTTCCAGTGTCAGAGGGGGCATGAGCCCCCACTGGACATTTGGTGGTTCAATCCCGGTATGTTGCGTCCATTTTTAGAATTGCATTGAAGAGTTTGCTGTTGTTGGATGATCAGGTGTATGCAGCGAGGTTGGATGATCCATATTCGGGAACGTTTGAAAGGTGTTCGACAGACACATATACTTTATACGGTCCATGTACATACCAGATTTGTTATCTGTATCTCTACAGGAGCGGATACGATGGCTGGAAGCCGGAAACTGTGACCGTCTATGGCTATTATACCAAGTCTGTTACTTTCTACTACAACACTTGGATTCCAAATGGCATCTGGTATGGATTTGATGAATGCCATGGCGCCTCTGCATCCTCCTGAATAATGTAAAAGACTTGAGAGTTTGTGCCTTGTTTTGGTTCATTGTTGTTCTTTGATTAATGTTTCATGGCCTGAAATTAATATATGAGACTTTGGATTTTATTTCCTGCTAAGTTTTATTTTTTAGATTTATAATTCTTTAGAAGAATAAACAAGTTTTATCACATGCATGTTAAAATTTGTCAATTATTGGCATTTTAGAAGAAGACGCCACTCTCATTACTTTTACAGTCTGTCTTTTGTTTTGTTTCATTGTGGAATATTCCCATATTTAATTAGGGTTTGAAGCACGAAACTTTTAGTTTCAATTGGAGAACTAATTACTTACATACATGAGTTACTGACTTTTTCTTACTCAAATAATGACCTAATGATACATTTCCATTCATAGACATTTAAAATACCACTTTATTGCTTAAATTTATATTCCAATGACGAATAGAGAGCAAAATTGTTCCAAACTGTTGGGGTTTTTGAAGAGGGGAGACAAATAAGTCTTTTGGTGGTAGAAAGTTAGATTTTAGTGGTTGGGATTGATCAGAATTTGACTTGAGATGGGCGGTTGTGTAAACTCTAATAACTCGATTGTTGGCGATTAGCGGGGTCGGACAACCGAGGCCTGCGATGAAGATGGATACAAATTTTTGATCAAGCATAGTGAGTTGATATTCGGTGATATGCTTAGCGAGAACAACTACATGGTTGCCTACCATAGCAATACCGAGAAGGGCTTAGATTATTGGAACCCACCGAAGAACTCTGCTGTCCAACTGGTTGCTGCAATCACTGCCTCTGCTAGGATTTATATGTACCCTTACATCTCAAGGGAGGACTGCTACTACATGGACACATACTCAGTTGTGCTTGGTCAACCACTACCTAAAGAAGTGATTTCTTCTTTTGTCTTAGGTAAGTTTTGGTGAGTGATGATCGGAAAAGAGAATGGTGGTGGTGTGAGGTTGCAATGATGTCAAAATCGAAAACGTAATACAAATTTAGGTAATAAAGTAGTATTTTAAAATGTCCGAGGGTGGGAAAGTGGCATTAAACTATTATTTGGTTGGGAAAAAAGTCGTTTACTCTACATACATACAAAAACAAGCATCAATTTTAATTCCATCTTTGGCCAACAAAATGTAATAAGTCACTGGATGACTTGATGGTAAAAAAATAAAAAGAGATTTCATGAGTTGAGATGCGTATAAATTGGTCTTGACAACCCCGGTGATAAAAAAGAAAAAAAAATTATTTAGAGTATCTCTAATTGATGAAATATGTGTAATTTCGTGACGTACTTACATTATGTAATTGAAGGTTCATATCTTTATGTCGTACCGTGTTGTCTATGTAATTGAAGATTTAATATTATGTTCATTGGTTTTCTTATTTTTACAATTACTTGTATACTAATATAAATAATTTTAGAAATTTAAAGACTAAAAATAAGGGTTTTATATGTATAAGTACTGAAAAGGGAGTTTAATTTTTGTTCTCTTTTGTGTTTATTTGGGCCAGTCGAAATTAGCTAATCTAGACCCTAGAGAATGGATTTAGACCCCACTGATTTGCACTTTAGCCCCCATTTAAGGGACATAATTGTAATTAAAATAGTTTTTAAATTATTTGTTTAAATTTTTTTCTTTATCGTTAACCTTCACCAACTTTTTTTCACAGAGTCCATCTTGTTATATGCCTGAAATTGAAGAATATGAAAGGAATTCTTCCATCAAACTTGGGATTTCTTTTTCAAATTATATTGTTCAATCAACTATTAATTCTAAAACTTTGGATTTTTCTCTTGAATTCTGTTAACTTGTTGATCAAATATCAATTCTAATATAAACTATTATTTTCACATAAAAACATAATAAATATTCTTCTTTAATATCATATCACTTTCACAAAGATAAAAATCTACTGAGAATATTTTTCTCGAACTTAATCAAGGCATGTAGATAATTTATAATTAATGGAACAAAAGCAAGATAATTACGTCTTCAATTTTTGGGTTTTTGATCCTCAGAATGAGATTGAAGGATTAAATATACCTAAGCATTGAAAATATCTACTCTTGTCCAGTGGAATCAAAACCAGTTTGCTTCAGCAACATCTCTCAGAATCGCTCTTATTCACAAAGCATTTAAGTTTATCAGGATATTTTTCTTTTCAAAAGCGTTTTAAATATTTACATAAAATAACATTTATATCCTAGTTTAAATTGGTGGTAGGGTTTAAAGATAAAATATGTAAGGCTAAAAATCATTATTCTAAATCACATCTTGGTGGCCGAGTGGTCGAATAAGAAATCCTAGACGTATTATTTAAGAGGTTTTGAGTTCCATTTTTCTCAGTTGCTAATAGGGATGACTATTGGAGATTTAATTTCAGGGCCCTATGAGATTACTTGAAGTACACACAAACGGGCTTGAATACCCCCTAGTCACAATGGAAAATAAAACATAACTAATTTAATACTTTCTCTTGTTACCAAATTCTTGCCTCTTCATTTCATAAGCATTATATTTATATATCCATAGATTTGATGAATGAAAAACACATCTAAATATTAGTGTTTTAAAACCTGGCCCAACCTGGCCGGTTGAATTGGTTCAATCGAGACCCGGGGCTTTCACCGAACTGGGTTACCCATTTCTGTATTCACCGAAAACCTTAGAAATTAGAATGATGATTGGTGAACAATTGAAGGTCTGGATATAGGGGCTTTTGAAGAGAAAGTGTTGGTGAGTGTAAAGGTGGAGACGGAGGTGATTTCCGGTGAATGAATTGACTGGAAATCGAAAAAACTGGCAGAGGTAATAGTTGGCTTTTGTCAGTTGTTGTTGAGGTGAACGGGGGTGGGGTGTTATAGGTTTTGGTCAGGCTGAGGGGAGTATTTTCGTGGTGATGGGGAGGTTGTCAACGTCAGCGGTGGTGAATGCTAGCCTATAATGTTAATGCCGGCGTCGATGAGATCTAGTTGAAATTGAACCGATTTCAGTTATATCTTGGGTAAATTTTTTGGGGAATGGGCTCAAGGGATGATTGGAATTGCATTTTGTGTGTCGTCGCCACCAACCAATGGACCGTTGATTTGTATTTGAGGTGTGTTTGCTAAATTTCAAACCTATAAGGACTAACTGTAGTTTTTAAGGGTGTATTTGTTGAATTTTAAACTTTTTGACACTCGGTTTGACCGGTCGGTCAACCCAGGACCCTTTGCCGGATTTCACCCTGGTTGGTTACTAAAACATTGCTGAATATAATATAAGAATTTGATCAAATATTGTATTACAATGTGTTTAGTGTTCATGGGACATCCATTACATTAGGGATACACCAATCAGTTTCAATTTCAGTGAACATAACTTCCCTTCCTTGGAAAATATTCTGATTCCATTACTAAAGTGAAATTGTTTCTCGTCCATTTTGACGTTCTAACAATGTACTATACAATAGTTATTATATTTATAAGTTTATTATTATTATTATTATTATTTTTTTAAGAAAACACATGTGATGCCAATGTGTAGAATTGCTTATATGCTTGATTGATATGTTAAATATAGATTAAAAAAAAAGAGTAAATATAAACACTTAACAAGGATTGAGAAAGTAAAAATACAAATGTAAGCGTTATTTTGTAAATTGATAAGAGTTTATTTAGACATTTAGATATATTTAAAAAATTTAATAGAATAAACTTAGAAATAAAGTTTATTAAGATAAATTATGGGGACCAATAGCATCATTCATAATTAAATCGTAAGAATAAATCGATAGTATTTAACTTAGAGACGGCACATGATCCCAAATCCAGGTGTCACTGTTCTTACACAAAAACCCGGGGCCAGGGGTTTTGCTTCCTTCAGTCTAAGAATTTGGACAGCCAAAATAATGAAATGATTCTATATAATCTGTCTCCACTCTCAACTCAATATACTGAAAACTATCAACATAACCCAAAAACGATCTACCTAAAAGGATTTAGAATTTGTTTACCAAATATAGCCACCTCTTAAGGACCAATTTTAACAAAAAAAACTCTCTAAAAGCAAATACAATCAAAGTTATGAAACACTTAAAATAGCTACCAGTCTACCAACCAGGCAAGATTTGCTCTTTGCCATCCAATTCCCATCCCCCTCTCTTCTCTCTGTCTCAAACTGTTTGTCATCGTTGTCGGAGACGCTGGCCAGCCGCTATGGGCAGTCAGCCATATGCTCCTGAGACATGGTGCACATGGCTTGTTCCACTCATCTTTTTGGTTTGTATATTCATGTTTGGTTACACCATGTATGTCAACGATTGTCCTGAGGCTACTGGACCTGAAAACTGTATATTATATCATCCCTTGGGGAGGTTTTCGTTTCAACCATTGACTGAAAATCATCTCTTTGGCCCTTCCATCCACACGTGAGAACACTATTCATCTCTGAAAATTTTCGGATTCATTTCTGTTAAATGGTAAACTCTGAGAGATTTTTCAATGCATATTTTTTTCCAGGCTTAAACTTATGGGTGGCCTTGATCGGAAACTAGTGGTGGATGATGGTGATTCATTGAGACTTTTTTCTTGCATTTGGCTTCATGCTGGAGTTGTTCATTTACTTGTTAATATGTTGAGTCTTCTATTGACCGGTATCAGACTCGAAGGGGAATTTGGATTTTGTAAGAGATTATTGGTTTCTAAATGTTAATAAAAATGAGGTATTGTATGGTAAAATTTTTTACTAACCTTAAAATTGTTGTTGAATATTCATGGCAGTAAGAATTGGACCTCTGTATGTGCTTTCTGGGTTCGGCGGAAGTCTCCTGTCTTGTCTTTGTCAAGAAACAGGAAAAGAAACTATTTCAGTGGGTGCTTCAGGTGCCCTCTTTGGATTGCTGGGAGCCATGCTTTCAGACCTCATCACAAACTGGACAATTTACACAAGGAAGGTAAATGCTTTACTAATGGCACACTGGAAGAGAAACTTCTTGTGTGTGGGAAGTGTCAAATGAGTTGTGTTCAATCAGTATGACCTATTTGACATGTCTATTCTTCAGCAAAGCATTTGCCGAACTTATAACGGAAAACTGCATGTCTTTAAACTAATGAGATGAATTTGTTTTCTTGTTTGTTCAGTGTGTAGCATTTGCACTCCTAGGGATAGTTATTGCCCTGAATTTGGCTGCTGGATTCATACCTGGAGTGGACAATTCCGCACATATGGGAGGATTCATCTCTGGGTTTCTTCTTGGCTTTATTTTTCTTCTCCGCCCTCAATATGGATATGTAAGCAGCAAATATATAGCAGCAGGATATGATATCAAGCAAAGGAAACCCAAGTACAAGTTCTATCAAAAACTGTTGTGGGTTGCAGCTTTAGTAACTTTTGTCATCGGGTAAAATAGAACTAAAATTTTCTTCTTTCAGAATTAACTGAAATTTTCACGACTGGGAGAGCCCAACTCTAGCTAACTTCTACCAATTTGGCAGATCCTTGAGTGGCTTGACAAAATTATACAGCGTCAAGACAATAGAAGGCTGATTTGCTTGACAAAGATATACAAAAAGCAAGGGAACAGAAAGAATGCCACTGCAGGACTCCAATCAGAAGATTATTCCTACATCAATTGCATTGCAAACTCTTCAATCAAACACAAGTAGGACACCAAATTCTACCCTTCATGCATTTGCCATGTATGCAAATGTAATAGAGCACATAACTATAAGTACAGACATGCACTTGAGATAATTAGGTATTTACGTTTACTTAAACCATTTGTTTCCTGTCATTTCCAAATTTTCAATCTTCTAACATAGATATTTTGCTCAATGTAGTGAAAGGGCGATATAAATATACTCGTGACATTCATCTGGCTTGTCTGATGTTTTATTAATTTCCTATGCAATATGAAAGAAATTTATGTATTATATCAACGAAAACACTTGATGCTGGTCTAATAGTATTCTGATCTATGATAACAGAGGAGTTGCAATTTTGATGAGTCGGGCTTCTATATGATACAGTCATGCAAACTCTGAGCAATGCGTTTCTTAGCAGGGGATTTTTTTTTTTTTTTTTTTTTTTATAAGAATGAGAAAATGAATGAAATGCTGTATCAATTTATTTAAGTACTAAGATACCACAGACAATGTTGTAAAAAAAAAGGACGATTCATTTGCTTAACTACTTCATAATTCAAGATAAGTACCCACCCTTAACAAGTTGGTTCTGCAAATGAATTATTACCAAGCTAAATTATGAAATCACCGCAAAAGCAAAGAATTGAATTTCTCCATTTCTATACCTAATTATCAATTAATAGGAAGGAAATAAAGAGAAAAATTGGTAACAAAATCAATGAGTCAATGACAAGCTAATGTAGTGCTACAATGAATAATTTACACCAAAGATATTTCTATTGATTTATATGTTCATGATTATTTTATTTCCACCAGAACAAGAATTAGTTGTCTCATTTCTGGAGTTTCCAATATACATTTATTTTTAACTATAACAATCTAATAAGTTAATTGTCATATAACTCACAAGAGTCTGAACGACCAAAAATCGTGTAACGGTTGTTTGCAATGTTGTCATACACAAAATCTCTCACAAACCTGCAAACATCCATACAAGGAGCAATAGAATAATAAATTTTCTCTGGGTGCTTTCATTGGTTAAATAACTGAAAACTAAATAAACAGCAAGATAAAATGAAGTAACAAAAAGAGTGATCACTTACTGAGGTACAAAATGAAGAAAAAAAGCAAGCTGAGGGTAAGGTATATCTACATATTCCATTATCTTGAGAACAGCATCTGACTTGATATATGATCTGAAATCAAAGATTAGTTACTAATATGCCCCTGTGCAATCCTATTTTTAGTATATCCCATAAAAGACTTTTAGAATTTCATTAATTGTCAAGAAGACAGAGTATCAATCCTTTGTTCTTTCTCTACCCCCCTTACACCAAAAGAAGTCACAAGCTCAAGAGACTATTTATAGCAAAAACGAAATAAAGCTCAACAAGTAAATTCAGCTGCTAGGCTACAGAATTCAGACCAATTTTAATGACAATCTTTAGAACAGACTGAACTTATAAAAATGTACCTATCCTTTTCAACAAGTACAACACTTGAAATATCATCAGGAGCTCTTCCCGACCTCCTCAGTAAATTCTTGCCTGCTTCGCTTTGGAGTGCTTCATACCTGATTTTCCTGTCAATTTTGAGTAAAAAGAGGAAAAAGAACGACTTTAAAAGGAGAACCCTAGCAAAAACATGGTGACAGAAATTTATGCTCAAGAAACATTAAGATATATAAAACATCAGGACTCATTAGATTTTCTCTAACAACAATCATCTTCTTGTTTCTCATTTGGACTTAGGATGGACCATCTTCCTCATAATAGTTCATAATTGATATATACATCTAATGAGTAGAAGAGAAGAGAAGAGAAGAGAAGAGAGAAGAAGAAGAAGAAGAAGAAGAAGAAGAAAAGAGAAGAGAGAAGAAGGAGAAGAAGAAGAGAAGAGAAGAGAAGAGAAGAGAAGAGAACAGAAGAATAAGAAAAAGGAACAGCTGTTCCTTCATAGGGGACGGCCATTACTTCTCCAAGAATGACTGTTTGTTTCTCGTAGTGCTTGAATGCTTGGGTGTGGTGGGGTCCGTGGCGAGAGCCAACGTGACAGCTCTAATCTGTTGACACGTTAGGTTTGTAAAAAAGGTTTGTGAGAATGGGTTGTTCGCGTAGTATTACTCATAAATTCAATATTTTCAACTTCTTATACTACATGTGATCACTGTAAAACATTTAGATCGAGGATACACATTTACTTCAACACAAGATGGAAAAATCCATAATTATTTAAACCATCCACAAGATAACAACAAGTAATGTATTTGAAACCACCAAACACTTCAAGAGTAAAGATTGCTTAATTATGGTAAAAAAGAAAAGAAAAGAACTAGAGATGACCTATTTCGATCAATGTCACGCACAAACCTCACACCTCCATTACACAAATTGCAAACACCTGTTGAATAAAATCAAAAAGAAAATCAATTAATTTATCGCCAGCCCATTTTCAAAAACGGATTAAGCTTGTTCATTTTACTAATCAAATTCTAAAACAATATTTTGAATCACTGCATATCTGCACAACAATAAATAACAAAGAAAAAATAATTCATGTTGGCAAATTATCAAACACTTAAAGGGAATTGATTTGAAGCCAAAATTAATGAGGCTTTTACCGTCATATAACATGATGGGTCTGGAGTCACCTTCAAAGAAGCTCGAAGTAGCCTCCACCCAGTCGACTGTGTCACGTCTAGGAGGGGGCAGAGTAGCAACTATGGCGGTTCTTCTACGGCTACTATGAGCCGGCCGTGACACGCTTAAACGTGCGCACCCGCCGGGAGAAAGAAGCGCCATGAATATGAAACACACTGGGTTGGTTAATCAACTTCCTTGTCCGAATTTAAAACTCGAAATAAATCGGTCTAATAGAATTACTATTATATCCCATCGTTGTCTATAATTGCTGGATGTATCCTGGGGGTACTCCTGTAATTGCATTGAAAAATCTGTCGATAATAAGCTAGGGAGCTGCTTTGCAATTTGTGTGACGTGGCTTCAGGAAATGGTTGCCACGTGGAAAATTAAATGCCACTGGAACCTGAAAAATCAAGCTGAGATGACTAATTCGGACTAAAGGAATAATAACAATTTCGTCCCTAAGTTTGGTACAATTACATTTTATTCATAGGCTTTTTTAGTGATCTTTTGATCCCTATGGTTAAGGTTTCGGTTGTTTCGGTTTATTAATGACATGTACCAAATCCTGACTGACAAAGATCAAAACATTACTTAAAAATTTTACAAGAGTAAAGTGTTACTTATGCCAAATGTTAGGGACGAATTGTTATTTTTCTAACTTGGAATAACTGTGTCGCATTTGAGGTTTAATCAATGTTTTAAAACCTAGCTTGGCTCAGCCGATTGACCAGTTTAGTTGGGACTCAGGGCCTTCACCGGGTCGGGTTAGCAATTTTCCTATTCACCGAAAATCGTAGAAATTGGAATGTGATCGGTGAACAATTGAAGGTTGAGATGTTAGGGATTTTGAAGAGGAGGGATCGATGAATGCAATGGTTGCAACAAATGTGATTTTTGGTGAGTGAATCGACCAAAAATTGTTGTTGTTGTCAATTGGTGAGGCAATTGAGGGAGAGTGATATGGGTGTTGGTCAGGAGGCTGAAGGGAGTGTTTTCGTGGTGATGGAGAGTGTTTTCATTTTCGGAAACAGGCCCTATTTGCCTTGGTTTGTTGACGTCGGTGGTGGTGTTTGGGGTATTTTTACAAGATTTTAAACTTATATGTAATTTTTAGGAGTGTTTTTGTTTTTTTTCAAACTTTTGGACACAGGTCAAATCGGTCAACCTGAAACTCGACCATTTTGTTAGGTTTTACCCCAGGTTAATTATTAAAACACTGGTTTTAATGGCAACCTAAATTGTATCAATAAATTTGTTTTTGCAATTCAAAACTTAAAAGGGTACAAACATTTTTGAGTTATTTTTTGATTTAGCAATAATTTTTTAAGATATGTTTAGTGTTTATAAATTTATTTTAGAATACACTTATATTTATTTTTCATCAAAAGTTAGACTAATATAACAAAAAAATAATATTCAAAACAATATATCTAAGGAATCTTATAAAAGTATTGGATACATGAACAGAGTAGAATGCATACATCTATAATCCAAAATGGTTGTTGAATGTTGTCACATATTCATACCTAAACAACGATTATAATTAAAATTATAATCATAATCATAATCTCACATTTTTCTAGCAATTCAACTCAAGAGAGATTTCTTTTGCTACTGATACATAATGTTTATGAAACAAATACTATATATATCTCATCACACTCTCCTTTAATTCACATTGTATCAATTGCCAATTTGCTACAAATTGCCCAGCCTCGCCTCCATAAAATATTTTTGATTTCATTCTTGGTTTTTGTGTCCTATCTCCCTTCAACTGTAGGATCTCTGTCAATATTTTCGAGCCTTCGAATTTTAGTTATCAACAAAGACAATTTCATGAACTCTTATCCATTTTAAAGAATGAACGTACATATACATTATATAAACAGTATGCATACAAATTTAGGATATATATCAAGTTTAGTGCTCTATACCGGTTGTAATTACGTAGTTTGTTCTGTTGTATTTCGGCTTTGGGCACTTATGGTGTTGATAGGTTGTCAAGAGGTATGGATGGGATAAGCGTGTCTATTTGAAGCCTTAATAGCAATGATATGAAAAACATGTACTCAAATATAAGCACAATATTACAACTTTAGAAAAATGATCATAAGAAAGCCTTTTTGGATGCAAATCTGCATCAGATATGCATTTATGAAACTTTTGACAACAGAAGTATGTGAATCTTATTTCGACGCAAGGTTTGCATCAAATACTTATTCAATGACAGGCTTAAAACTACAGATAACATTTTAACCTTTATAATAGATGTTTACAGCTACTGAGACTTGAAGATAACAATGTCATTTTAACCTCATAACAATTAATTTTTCGACAAACTGCATAAGATATTCATTTTCTGTTTTTTCATAGCACTGATAGAAACTTCCGCAACAAAAGTATGGGTCTTATTCCGACGCAAGGTTTGTATCAAAGTATTTCAACGACGGCTAAATGAGATTGACATGTCATTTTACCTCATAATAGGTGTTTTAGTGCCATTATAACCTATTCCAACACATCTTTAAGTTGAAATAGGGCAATTTTCCGTGTTGTTAATGAGAAAATGTTCATTAGTAATTTTATGAATTACCCAGCGATTAAGATGACAAACGATGTAATCCAACAGAGCTGTTGATGGCTGGTACTTGGATTTGTGGCGAGTTGTTCATATCCTGGTAAAAAATATTTTCTGCAACATATCCATGTTGCGGACGGATTAGAAGAACAAATCCTAGAAAAATCCACTGATGAATCCCCCCAAATGTGCCATTGTCCACTCAGGTATCAATCGAGCAACAAATTCAGGCAAATGTTACCAGTAGCATCATCAATTGAAAACACTGATAATCAATATTAAAAACATTGTTTGTATGAATGAGTTATAATACAGGTTTAAGAAGCTTTGGTTAAAAAAATTGTCACTTATCGAGTAGCTTGCCAATTTGTGATGAACTTGACAGCATCGAACCATGTGTCCGAAAAGGGCACCTGATGCACCAATTGAAACAATGTCTTTTGTTGGATCTTGAGAGACAAGATAAAATACTTCCGCCTAAGCCGGCAAGTACAAAAGATCCTACTTCACTGCATCCACATTTTTAAAAATCAATAAAATGAATAGAAATTTATCCGAGATTGATTAACTAGGTAGCTCAGTTTTAATGTTCTTCAAAATCCAATTCCTCTTCAGCTGGATACGGGTAGAAGGAAAGGTATTGAAAAGTAATGGACAACCGGAATGAAGAAACATGCAAGAGAATAAACCCATCTTCACCTTGCTCCATGTATATGTGAAGCCTTATACGCTGTCTTATGACATAAATTCACTTGCATCTGACCGTTGGTTTTTAAGTAATCTAACAGCTGAAAATTGAAGACTGGTCAAACCTATAAAAGCTACAGTCTCTCTCTTTCTCGGAAGATAGTTCTCTCTCAATCAAAAGCTTCCCAAATTTCTCGTTAGGTTCAAGAATAGGGTTCTCTATGTGTGTGGTGTAAATCTTTAGTTAATCTGTCCATTAAAGTTGTGTTTCTTTGTGGTCTTGAGAATCAGGTTTGGAGTTCTCTATTTGGGTTGTAGATTACGGTACTGGGTTGAAATCTGAGTAGTTCTGATAATGAATGTTGTAAGGGGAGATCAATTGGTGACTAATATTAGTGCAGCGAGCATCCATATTCTGGAGCTTAAGTGGACGTGCTTGTTCAACTTTGAACAAAGTGACCACGGTAAATACTATGTGTTGATCTGTTTCCTTTTGCGTTCTTTGATTGATTGTGTTGGAAGTTGATTAGGATTAATGAGACTGGAATTACAACAATGGCATCAGAGCCGAGTTTAGGGTTCCTCAAAAACAAATTGAAAATTCTAGGGTTTCGAAATATTTTTGGGCTTTTTTGATTAATTAGTTCCAAGAGTCCTAGAGTCCAAACACAGCTAGATCCCTAAAACTGTCAGTAAATCGAGTCCATAGGACACAATCTTGATTTCTTAGGGTTTTCCTTTGAATTCAAATTATGAGCACACACGCATTGAAATCTCCCAATATGATGGGAAGATTGGTTCAACACTTGGAAAAAGAAGATGAAGACCCTCTTATCCACAACAAGGTGGGAATTGCACTAGAGAAAGATGTCACTAAATGGCCGGAAGAAAAGCTGAAGAAGAAGGCAGATGTGGACGAAGAAGGGTATAACTTGATCATCATGAACCTGTCTGACACCGTGCTTCGAAAGGTGGATGGCGTGGAATCTCCGATTCCATTCGAGGGTAAACTTGAATTTATATGCTCTTAAATCTGCTCCAATTTAGCTTTCCTAAAAGGTGCTTGTTTTCTTATAAAACGGACCAAGCAAAATCTTTAGATGAAAATTTGGATGAATTCCTAAAAATGAACCTAACCCTAAAAGTACTGACCAAGAACTAGGAGATTCCAGCCTGTCATGATCCTGTTGAATTCCGTACAAGAGAAATACTTAGTGGTAAAGAATGCCCTTCAGTATAGTGGAACTGTACTCAGTGTGGACCTTATAGTTTCTAGGCTAAAATCAAGGGAATTAGAATTAAAGATTCAAAAATGTAGTGGTAGTAATCTGTTTGTAAAAGGGAAATTCGATACTGGACAATCTGGTAAAGAAACTAGAAAGAACCCTCAGAGACATGTAGGCTCTAAAAAACATAAAGACTAGTAAGGGTAATGGGAAACTGAGGGTGAATCTAGGAAGTTGTTTTTTTTGTAACAAAACAGGGTCCCTTAGAAGAATTGTTATGAAGTGATTAAAAAGAACAAACAGGCCAGTACAGAAACCAACTAGCTAAGCCAAAGTAGTAACAAAGAAATATCTGAAGCTCTTACTATTTCCAATAACGTCAGAAAATGAGTGAGTGCTAGACTCAGGTTTGTACACTTCCACATGAGTCCAAACGGAAATTGGTTTCAAAGACTTAAAAAGGGAACAAGAAACATTATTCATAGGCAATAATCACTCTTGTGAGGTTCAAGGAATAGGTGACATAACCATTAGGCTGAATAATGGTAAGTTAGTTTGCTCACTAGGGTTAGGTATATACCCGAACTTAAACGTAACCTAATTTCACTTGGAAACCTTGGATGAATCTGGTTGTTCCTATAAAGCACAAAATGGCTGCTAGAAGTGTACAAAAATGGAAATGTGCTGATTAAGGGT